AAAAAACTTATTGTTGGGAGTCACACTGTGCTGTCAGGGCCTGGTGCCAGCCCAGGCTCAAATCCCATGTTGTATGGGCAAGGACAATAGTTTACATGGCTACACGTGAATAGTTCTTGCTGTGCAGCAAGGAGGCCTCATTTAGAGGCTGGGGGATGGGATGGGATGCACAAAGCTGCAAGTGGTAGGTGAATCCCTGAGATGCCTCCAGTGGGGGGTGGGTGGGCAGGGGATGAATTCTACCCGATCCCATCCTGCCATGCTGGCCCTGTCACAGCAGAGGGCTTTCTAGAAGGAAGAGCTGTGGGTCACCACTGACCACATGTAGTGTGAGGCTCTAAGGACTTACAAGCCAAACCAGTCTGAGGGTGGTAATTATAAAACCTCGTGAAACTAGGTGGGACCAGATCCAGCTTGAGCAGAGTGAGCTGGTGGGCTCAGCACACTGCTGGCAGGTTTGTCTCCACTGTCCAGCCCCTGCTGGGGCATAGCTGCTCAGCTGATGAGGTCAGGATAGCATGGAGAACAGGGCCTTGCCAGCTGAGCCGTGTGCCCTCGGTGCTGTGGTTGACGCCTCTCACTTGCTACTCCTTGAGTGTACCTAATACTTGGCTCAAGCTCTGAGACCCTGCCTAAGCCTCAGATGCTGCCTCCTGGTTCCAGGATAATGCCATTTCTCAGGAATGCTGTGTCTCCAAGAGCAGAGAACAACCTGGCATAAGAAGAGCAGGCTTTTGGCCCTGTATGGAATTCATTTTTAAGAATGTCCAGTTCTCAGGACCAGCAGGTGGAATGGTGGTTAAAGGCACTGGAGTCCCACATGTCTGACGTGGTTCAAGACCCAGACTTGATGGCTTGCTTTCTTACTTTCTCTTTCTCTCTGTCTGAGCAGGGAGTTGCTCTGGCTTCCCCATAGCTGCTGTTTAACTGGTACTCTCTGACTGGGAGTGAGGAGAAAAAAACTTATTGTTGGGAGTCACACTGTGCTGTCAGGGCCTGGTGCCAGCCCAGGCTCAAATCCCATGTTGTATGGGCAAGGACAATAGTTTACATGGCTACACGTGAATAGTTCTTGCTGTGCAGCAAGGAGGCCTCATTTAGAGGCTGGGGGATGGGATGGGATGCACAAAGCTGCAAGTGGTAGGTGAATCCCTGAGATGCCTCCAGTGGGGGGTGGGTGGGCAGGGGATGAATTCTACCCGATCCCATCCTGCCATGCTGGCCCTGTCACAGCAGAGGGCTTTCTAGAAGGAAGAGCTGTGGGTCACCACTGACCACATGTAGTGTGAGGCTCTAAGGACTTACAAGCCAAACCAGTCTGAGGGTGGTAATTATAAAACCTCGTGAAACTAGGTGGGACCAGATCCAGCTTGAGCAGAGTGAGCTGGTGGGCTCAGCACACTGCTGGCAGGTTTGTCTCCACTGTCCAGCCCCTGCTGGGGCATAGCTGCTCAGCTGATGAGGTCAGGATAGCATGGAGAACAGGGCCTTGCCAGCTGAGCCGTGTGCCCTCGGTGCTGTGGTTGACGCCTCTCACTTGCTACTCCTTGAGTGTACCTAATACTTGGCTCAAGCTCTGAGACCCTGCCTAAGCCTCAGATGCTGCCTCCTGGTTCCAGGATAATGCCATTTCTCAGGAATGCTGTGTCTCCAAGAGCAGAGAACAACCTGGCATAAGAAGAGCAGGCTTTTGGCCCTGTATGGAATTCATTTTTAAGAATGTCCAGTTCTCAGGACCAGCAGGTGGAATGGTGGTTAAAGGCACTGGAGTCCCACATGTCTGACGTGGTTCAAGACCCAGACTTGATGGCTTGCTTTCTTACTTTCTCTTTCTCTCTGTCTGTCTCTCTCTGATCAAACTGGAAAATAATACTAATAAATAAAGTTTAAAAAATTCTTAAAAAAAAAAAAGTTCCCTATTCAAAAAAGGGCTCTCATTCCCATGGAAGAACTTGATGCCTCACACATTTCTGCTGAGTGGTGGTGACTCCTGCTGGCAGAAGTTGGAGGTGCAGCCCAGCTTTATCAGAATCTGTCACTGTACACTTCCTGCCGAAGTGGCGTGTCTTAGTATTTGTTAGGGAGTGTCAATCAACTGGGGCTGCCATGAAAAAATGCCACTGACAGCAACTTAACATTTTTTTCTCACAATTCTGGTGGCAAGAAGTTTCAGATCAAGGTGTAGGCAATTTGTTCATGGTGAGGGCCTCTTCCTGGTTTATAGATGGCTGCCTTCATGCAATGGTTTCATATAGCAGAGAGAGAGAGACAGAGAAAGAGGAGGTCATTTCGTCTCTTCTTAGAAGGACACTAATCTTATCAAATCACAGCCTGGCCCTTATACCCTCATTTAACTTTATATCTGTAAAGACCCTATCTCCAAAAACAGTCACACTGGGGGTTAGGACTTCAGTATATGAATTTAAGGGGCTATCATCCTTCAGTTCCTAGTACAGAGTGTCCTTCTACTAGTCAGTTTTGTCTGATCTGGAAGTGGGCAAGAACCTGATGTAGACAGAGTCTAGAAGGAGGGATGAAAACATTGGGCAACTCGCACTGATCAGCAGAGCCTCACTGTATGGAGATTATTTTGCTTTGAGAGAAACATCGGTTCCATATTACCTAGAAATGGAAAAGAAAATGATGCTGGCTATTGAACCTCACAGAGGTGAGGTGGGTGAGGGCCATGACTGTAGACAAGGAGGGCCTTTTCTCCCACTTCGAGGCAGATCCCCAATCCCCGTCTTCTGGTGGGCACTCAGGTTTGCTTCAGGTCTGAACTTGGTTCCAGTTTGCAAGAGTGTAATAGGCATGAGCCTTTGGCCTGGGTTCAGATAGGGGTTTCAGATAGGGGTCCCTGGAACGAGTGTCCCATTGCTGGGTTTCACTTACAGTGACTGATGGGGCCTGAAACCATCTCTACCAGCACCAGGGCACTGGTCAACAGAGGCTGGCCCAGCACTGGAGGAAATCTGCCTTGTTAGCTCTCTGGGAATCCACACGGGATGTGCAGGATGGCACTGGGCTTGGCTCCCTGGTGTGCCCAGCTAGGGAGCGTCTGGAAGTTACAACTCTGCAGTGGAGTGGCAAGAGGGTGGGCTCCAGAGAGTGTGAGGCTGCATGGGGGCCCTGGGACCCCAGTAGCCTCCTGTCCCACTAGATGCCCCGGGTGGGCTCTAGTGGGCCCAGAACCTGGCCATTGCTGAGTGCACCTTAGGGGATCTGTCTGTCTGGAGGGGCTGAGGAGAAGCCCCTTTCTTTCCCAGCCCTGCCGAGGCTTCCTGGGCCTTTGTCATCCATGGTGCCTCCCCTGCCCTGGCTCTGCACCCCTCTATGCCTGCCTGGTCCTGCCAGAAAGGGCTGCTGGTTCTTATTACGAGTCCCGCCAGAGCAGGGATGCAGTTGGTGTCGTGAACACAAATAAACAGAGCCCCCAGGAATGTGGGGCCGGCTCCGTCCATGCTCAAAAGCTTCTGGAGTGATGGCCAGGGGCTTAAACAGAGCAGTGTCAGGCGAGGCAGGCCTGGCCTTGAGGATCAGGGCTCTATCTGGTCTTGGGGATCAGGGCAGCAGTGCAGAGGAGAGAGGACAAAGCTGATGGTTTGCTTCCATTCTGCCCTGGCCTTGGGTGGATCCCCCATTAGCTACACATGCCAGGGTCAGGAGGCTGAGCTGTCACCACCTCCCTGTGTCCTCCCTCTAGGACTGGCTTTGCCCCAGGAGGGGACCTTGGCTTGACTTCCCACTAACATGGCCGGCATGGGGAGTCAGGGCACTGTAGAGTTTTAAACAGGTTTGCTTTGGAAGAAGCTTTGCCTGTGGCCTGCAGCATGGCCCTGGCCTTCTCGTGCTCCATGGTGCTGCCAGTTCCACTGGCCTAATAGCGCTGGCTCCTCAGTGGTTTCAGGCTTCTAATCCCATATGCGTTGGCAGTAAACCATTTCCCCAGACTCAAACCCTAAGGCAGCTGCCTCTGGGGAGGGTGGTATCACCCCCCACCCCTAGGAAGGGGCATCTGTAAGTGGAGCCCAGTCCCTGGAGTTGCAGTGTATTAGTAACAGGGTCCAGGTTTGTTCTGGCCAGTGCTTTTCTGGGCATAGGCCTGCGGGCAGCTGGTCTCAGCTCCCTGGGCACAGGCAGCCTTGCATTCTTGTGGTTTCCCTCCTGAGCTCAGGGCCAGTTCCCTCCCTATCCACAGTGTGACTGCCAGGGACTTGATGGTAACTAATCCCCACTGAGGAGCTGCTGCTGCCATGGTGGAGGCCCACCCTGGCCTTTCACCCTCTCCCCACCTCCCTGGGCTCTCTGAGGATGTGGTCGCAGTCTGTCCACCAGATACGTAGGCACCCATTGGGCCAACCCCACATAGCCTGAGGGGTCTGATCGTCAAGGCCTGGGTACTGTCCCCATGGCTGCTGGGAGGGATGGATACTGTGAGGCCAGTTGTTTGGGGTGGCCTGGCCTGGAGTGAGCTGTTCTGACCCCTCTGTGCTGGGGTCCTCACTTGCAGACCTTGGTGGCTGTCCACATGGCCCCATACCTGCCCATTGCCTTGGACTGAGGACAAACGACGGTGGGCTGCCTGGGCTGCCTAGCTGCCACCTCCTCCAGGGAGCATGCTGGCCTGCTGGGGCTTCTCAGCAGCCCTCAGTGTTGTACCCTTTGCTGCAGGGTGTTGGGTTTCCGTTGAGTGCCCACAGTGCCTCTGTTTGTCTAGTCCTCAGGCAGGTGGGCCTGGACACAAGGACCTGCAGGCCCTGTACTTGGGTGAAGAAACAAGGTCAGCCCTTGGACCTGACAGGGAACAGCACCACCCTCCCACCTTCCCTAAGGCCCTGCGTCTGACAAGGAGACAGGGATGGAGGGACTTGGAGCCGCCTTGGGGGTCCTGGAGGCTCCTGTAGGAGGTGGTGGTTGTGCCATCCTCTGCTCTGTGCGAGCCTTGGGACTGTCAGCCAGCCGTCCTCCCAGGCTGACCTGGGCTGCTTTCTCTGTCCCAGCTATCAACTCCTGCACCGTGGGCAATGGTGGCTGCCAGCATCACTGTGTTCAGCTCACGGCAACTCGGCACCGCTGCCAGTGCCGGCCTGAGTTCCAGCTCCAGGAGGACGGCAGGCGCTGCGTCCGTGAGTGCTGCCACATCCCTGCCAGACCCTGCCTTCTCCCTGCCCACAGACTTGCCTGGCGACCTGGCAACATGAGCTCAGGGGCAGAAGCAGGACTTGCCTCCCTGCCTGGGCTTCTGGGGCTGGCTGTGGAGAGGCCTGTGGGCTGGTCACATGTCCGGGGGGGGCAGGAGGCCCAGGGTGGGGGTGGTGCTTCAGCTCCATAGATGCCCACGTTGACTTGCTGAGGGCAGGCTGGACTCCATTGGGCCCTTTGCTCTGGGATCTTGGGGCTGCCTACGTGAAAAGGGAGCTGATACAGAAGTGAGGTCGGTCCAGGAGCTTCCCCACAGGATATGGAAATGGAGGGCTCAGGGTGGGCCAGGTGTTAGGAGAGTTCAGATCCCTCACATGGCCTCTTGGTCCTCCACAGCTGGGCGGGAGGTAAGTATGGGCATGAGGGGACTCAGGCCAGCAACTTACGATGGCTTAGGGTCACAGGGCTGGAGGAAGCAATGTAGCCAGGGCTCTGGGGACTTTCCACATCAGGGAGGGGGGAGACCCAGTGTCTAGCCCATCAGGCCAGAACAGGGAGGGGTAAGGGCACTGGGTGAGGCCTCATGAGGCCATGGGCAAGTACCCTGAGTCTCCCAAGTCCCCTCTTTTCCCTCCACCCTAATCTCTTCCCATTACCTGTTTGTCTTCCCTGACTGCAGGGAGAAGCCCATGTGCCGATGGGAATGGTGGCTGCATGCACATTTGCCAAGCACTCCGAGGCCTGGCCCACTGTGAGTGTCATGCAGGCTACCGGCTGGCTGCAGACCACAAGGCCTGTGAAGGTAGGACGCACCTCTTCCACTCCGCCTGTCCCCTTCAGCTGGGTGGGTCCCCACTCTGTGGAGTGACTTGTTTCCAAATCTGGAGCCGCCCTGTGGTATCCCGCTGGGCTGGGCCTCTTGGGAGCAGGGCTGACTTGGTTGCATCACCCATGGGGGGCCTGGTATGATGCTGTCTCATTTCTGCTGAGGATGAAGCATTGGGGGAGGGGACACAGCCAAGAAGCTGCTTTCAGTTGGACTCATTTTCCCAGAAGTAGGGGAGAGATCTCAGGCTTTGATTTAAAAATATTACTTGTATTTGTGTAACACCTGTTTGTGAGGACAACAGAAGAGAATGTTTCTCAGCCTTTTGGCTTAGATCAAGTGTAGTAAAATAGAAAAGAAATGAGTAGGAAAAATCACCACCCACAAGCCTCGGAAAGCATCTCAGTGTACCGACTCCTGCTGTCTCTCCAAGGTGTTTTGTTGAGATGGATGTTAGAGTCCGGTCGTGGCAGATGCCATTTTCCAGCACGTGTCCCTAGAGCCTGGCTGCATTGTCACCTGCTGCACTGCTGGGCAATGTTTGTTCCTTAACTCTCCCTGGACATTTGGGCATGTCCAGCTCTTCCTGTTACAAGCAGGGCTAGAGTGAGCAGGGGGAGAGCCTGTTCATGGCCCCAGTGACACCAAGGATACATCTCTGAAGTGACAAGGTGTGTCCAGAGCAGGCATCTTGCAGACGGTTGGAGTTGCCTGCAGGGTGTGGAAGTTGGTGGTTTCACCTCTTTGCCAACAGCCGGCAGTCCCTGCCAATGTCAAAGGAGAGCCCCATGTCTCTGGCGTGACCATAATAGTTGTCAGGGCCAGCCAATTTGGTCCTGACCACCTGTGCTACTTGGCCACAGGCAGGAGGCTGATGACCAGAGCCCGGTGTCAGCTTGCCATGCCCTTTCTCCTGCTAGCCCCCTGAGCCTTCCCCCTTGGTCTTGCCCCTCCAGATGTAGATGAATGTGTCACGGGACTGGCCCAGTGTGCGCATGGCTGCCTCAACACCCGAGGATCCTTTAAGTGTGTTTGCCACGCAGGCTATGAGCTGGGTGCTGATGGCCGGCAGTGCTACCGTGAGTGGGCAGTGGGTGGACAATGGCACCTCAGGGCTGGAGTAGCCCAGGATAGCAATGGGGCTTCCTGGAACCCCACCAGCTTGCTTCAATTGATGGGGCAAGCCTCCTTGTCACTCAGGGGCAGCCTCAGGTGTGGGGGTCCCCCCAGGAAGCAGGGGGAGGGCAGGGGGTTCCAGTGCCTGTCCCATGTCCCAGGTGGCCGGTCTCATCACAGGGATTGAGATGGAGATTGTGAACAGCTGCGAGGCCAACAATGGTGGCTGCTCCCATGGCTGCAGCCACACCAGCACAGGGCCCCTCTGCACCTGTCCCCGTGGCTACGAGCTGGACAAGGACCAGAAGACCTGCACTGGTGCGAGCTGGATCCTCCCAGACTGCCTGGCCCTGTCCAAACCAGGATTCGCTGCCACCCAAGCCTGGGACTGGTTTGATGCCATGATACGGAAGCCCCCTTTGGTCTCCCCAAATCCTGCTCTGGCTGTCCCAGGCCAGGCAGGGCGGTGGGGGTGGGCCTGGAAAGAAGCAGTACCGTGACCCCAATGAATCTTGGGAGTTCACCTCAGCCCACTGGACACCTGCCCACCTGCCCACCTGTACACTCTACCCCATCAGTGCCTCCTCTGACCTTGCTCTGTCACCTGGTCATGGGCCCAGTGTCCTCAGGGGTAGCATATGAACCAGTGTGGCAGTGGAAAGTCCTCTCCTCACAGGGAGACCCTGACTCCCACATGGACTTTCCTCCACTCCCCCTAGTGGGGCCCAGTCCCAGTGCTTTGCCCACGGTAGACAGGGTGGCCTTGGGGCTGTGACATGTGTCCTGTGCGTGTGTGTGTGTATGCTGGACCAGGAATATCTGTGGGTATGAATGTGGTTGGGTGTAGATATGTGGAATTTGTGGTGTGTGACTGTACAGGTGTATGCAGGTGTCTATGTGACCGTATGGGGTGTGTGCAGCTGTGTGGGTTTGTATGTGAGTATGTGTGCAGCTCATATGGTGTGCCTGAGATGATATGCAGCTGCCTATGGGATGAGCATGTGGGGTTGCAAGTGAGTGTGCGTGCACTTGGGTTCAGTGTCTGTAGTGGTACATGGCGTTGGGTGGGATGGTGGAAGGGACATGTGTGGCTGTGTGTGTGTAGGCACCTGAGTGTCAGCGGATCCTGATGCATGTGCCCACAGATGTCAACGACTGTGCCAATTCCCCGTGCTGCCAGCAGGTGTGCACCAACAACCCCGGTGGGTACGAGTGTGGCTGCTATGCTGGCTACCGGCTGAGCACCGATGGCTGCAGCTGTGAGGGTGAGCACCTGTCCAGCTATGGGCAGCTGGGGTGGCCAGGGGAGCTGGGGCACCCTGAGGAAGGACATGGGGCTTGGCTGTGTTCCCCCATGGTGGGCGTGGGGTCACTTCCTTATGTTCTCCCTTGGGCATTGGTCGAGGACCTACTGTATGCAGGGCCATGCTGACCTGCCCACTCCCTTCCTCTGGCCTGTCGTCTCTGGCCACTACTGCGTGGGTGGGCCTGCGTCCCTTTCCTTGGCAAGTGTCTTCTGTTGCTCTGACCCTGGGGATGGGAGACTAGCCATAGGCCACTTGGCTGTGGGGTAGGCTCATCAGCTGACTTAGGGAGGTAAGCTGCTCTGCTTCCAGCATGGCCACTCTGGCCTCTGTACAACAGGTAGAGCCAGGGCGTGCCAGGAGCACAGTTCCCGGCATCCTTGCTTTGCCCACAGATGTGGATGAGTGCGCCTCCAGCCGTGGTGGCTGTGAGCACCATTGCACCAACCTGGCTGGCTCCTTCCAGTGCTCTTGCGAGGCAGGCTACCGGCTGGATGAGGACCGCAGGGGCTGCTCCTGTGAGTCCTGTCTTCCCCAGAGCACCCCCCCGACACACACACACACGCATACACCTCTACCTTTGTGGAATCTGCTCTCAGCAGCCCCTGCATCCCACTCACATGACATGACCAGCCCTACACCCGCCCTGCCCAGGGTCCCTTGTCCCCTTGCCCCTCTGGGCTGCACCCTCAGAAGCCAGTGAGCCCTCTGTGGACCCTGTCATTGTCCTCCCCACACTGCTGTGTGGTGGGGAGAGACAGCAGACTTGGGAGAGGGAGCTGATCAGACAGGCATTCTCCAGGGCGAAGTGTTACTCGGGGGGATCCCTAAGGATTCAGCTTCTGTCCTAACCAAGTGAGAGAAGGGACCATGGCCTAAGATGATGTCATCTCTGGGACTGGCGACTGACGCCCCATTCCCCTAGGCCTTAGACCCCTGAGCCAGAGAGGGAACTGGAATGGGGTTGGAGTTAGAGGTGGCATGGGTCAGGTCCTCAGGGCCTGCGCCTTCTCTGCCCTGAGATATAGGGTCAAGAGTGCCGCTGGGATGACCTCCTGTGGCCAGGCTGAGGAGGTGGTAGGAGATGGGGATGGCAGAGTCTGTAGGTGGTGTGTGTGGGGCTATGAGGTAGGGCTCAGGCCTGCCCGGGAAAGGACTCGCTGGGGCATTACAAGCCTCCAGCCCTGGGAGGGCGGGTTGGGGGCCAGGACTAAGGGGGTCCCTGTGCCCCACCCCTAGCCCTGGAGGAGCCCCCAGTGGACCTGGATGACCAGCTGCCCTTCGTGCGGCCCTTGCCCCACATCGCGGTGCTCCGGGATGAGCTGCCGCAGCTCTTCCAGGACGACTACATCGGGGCTGATGAGGAGGAGGCGGAGCTACGGGGTGAACACACGCTCACAGAGAAGTTTGGTAAGCCGTGGGCCAAGTCCTAGGGTCTCCTGCTCAGGGACAGCCGCCAGTGACCCCTCAGGCTGCTGTCTGCCCTGAGGTCTTGGCCTTCTTTGGCCAAGGTTCAGAGATGCTGAGCCACTCACTCAGTTTGCACAGCCTGTGTGGAGCTGAGCCTGGGCTGGACTGGACCCTGGCTTCCAGATTAGGGTCTTCCTGGCCCCAGTGTCTGGCTTCCATATCCCACACCTTCAATTTGGGGCCCTCGTGGATTGAGGATGACGTCCTTTGTGCCCCTTCCCTGGCCCAAAAGCCTGAGCTGGTCTCTAGGGCAGGGGTCAGGCTCTGAGGCCTACTTCCACGT